GGAGGTCTTCCATTGGAGGAAGAACAGCTTTGGATCCAACTGTTGTTAAATTGGAATTTGTTTATTGTTGTATAGCAGCATTGCTTTTGGGGCAAAGTTATCGCCAGGAAAATAAAAGAAAAAATCAATTTAGTATAACAAATGCTTTTAATCACTACTAATTAAAATATAACAAGCATCATGTAACCTCAAAATCACAAATATTACATAATTTTAAAAGACACAATAAGATCCCATTTACAGTGATTTTTAAAAGCTTCTATAATTAAATAATGTCTTTGCCTAATGCCAGAATGATAGTAAAGCAGTTTCAATAGAGTCCAAAGTTGGAAAGGCACTTCATAAGGGGTTATTATTATTTCAAAATGTAATGAGGTATAAACTAAACACAAACATTGCTCAAATGATATTCAAGGTTTTAAAAGGAGATTAGGCAAATTAACAGAGAATAACACTGTTGTGACCATTATATATTATCTTCAGTAGGAAGCACTATGCTATGAAATGCCAATTTTGGGGGATTATAAAACAGAATATGCTATTGTGTTTATGTCCTGCTTGTGAGCATCCCTGAGCAGCTGGGTCATTGTGGGAGCAGAATGCTGGACCAACTAGCTTTCACTTTGATGTTTTCTAGGTAGAAATTCATAAGAGACAGTCACTGAAAAGCACCACTTAGGAAAAGTGCAGCTATTACAAGAAGGAACATGAATAGTGAGTTAGTTCAGCATGCTGATACTATATGAATGTTTGGAAGATCTCAGCTCATTACTTTTTCAATATTTCCAAATCACTTAAACATATTGGATGGGAATTGGAGAGCCACAGTCTACATCCGGAGGACTTCATGTTGAGAAAGACTGCACAATGATATGGATCCTGGAACATCATTTAAAAAAAAATATCATACCGAAGTTAAATGCACTCAGATAATTATTGTCAAAAGTTTACAAGATATTATTAAGCAGAGTTTCAAACAAAACAAATGGGAGATTAAGTGATTTGAGAATAACTGCTGTGTTATTTTCACACATCATTTAGTGTCTACAAGTCTGAGAAAAAATCATAAGTTTTTATACAGATGGGACATCTTGCTTGTAATATTATATAAATTCAAGAGAAATTAGGAGAGGATTCACATTTTAATGCAAATAGACTTTCTGTATTTTGAAATTTTATGAATTTTGCAGTTATTCTCCAATGGGGAAAAATACAGAAAAAGTACAAGCATGTATTGTATTAGGAAACCTGCCTCCAAAAAAGGCATAATAAGAAAAATGTGTTTTAGGAGAAATGTACATAACATATATAAACATTTTATAGGCATCCTTTAAAAACTGTCCAACGGGATAAATAAAGGTAAAGCCAAGGTCAGACACAAAGAGCCTGAGACCAAGCACTCCCGTTACAATAGCAGTACAGAGATGGCAGCTTTACACCCA